GGAAGTTGCATGTTGTTGGTTCCTCTTGTGCCTTGAACGAGCCATGGAATTTAAATGAAAAAAAAAACTGCAGCTGCTATTGGTCAAACATGTTATTGGGCTCCACAGTTAAGATGAAGAAAAACCTTGAAAAAAAGAAAATAGAGAAGAATGAGTTTGAGTTGTAGAGCCAAAGTGATCGTAATATCAATTCAATTTGCTCCATGTCAACTATTTAGCTTAATAATACTACTAATGTCCGTGTTGTTTTTATCCATCTAATCCACATGTGCTTGTCATTGCTTCTATCATAAAAATCTAAACTTGAGCCACATTAGTATTTCATATTTTGGCACTGATATCATTTTTATTGTGAAGCAGCTGCTGATTATTACACTGTTGAATCAGGTATTGATTATTTACTTTGTTCTTCAAAAGGTTTTCGTGGCAAAAGTCTACAAGGTTGATTGATTTTCTGTCAGTTTTTCATTAGGAAGTGTTACAACCAGTGAATTTTGGACCCAGATGCAGGACACATAAACAGAGCGGTTGATTGGTAATGAGGTTTATTGCAAAGGAAAAACAGGGTGAGACTCAAAAACCAAAACAAGCACAAAAAGATTAATTTCAAAGGTTTTTTTCAAAATCTTAATTTAGCCTGACCCATAGTCTACCACAATAGTTGATACAACAATCTGGCGATGAGCAGATGGAGAGCCGGGGTACATATACTGCTGAGTTGATGAGGAGATGGTGTGCAGGTGAGAGCAGGTGAAAGGAATGAACCTCAATCAGGAGGGAACCAGAGTGAGAGAGCCATGACAGGAAGTGTCTGTTGTTGTAGACCCCATAGTTATCTGACATGCTTTTGTGTGACTGTCCCCCTCACATTTTTAAGGATTTTACACCTTGTTCTACCTGTACTATACTATCTACTTTACTCCCGATATGTGCCTAATTCACTATTCCAGATTTGCTCTTTAATGCCTGATTGTGAGTGCACAATGTTCACTGAATCTTTATTGACAGGTTCTTATCAAAACCACTTTGTGAGCTTTGTTCTTTTAGATTCAGTTCATCCAGGGGATGAAACTATTATCTTCTTCTCATGCATCCTTCTAGCAGCCAAAATATGATGTAACATCTTCGTACTCATGAGTGGAAACAGTCAGAAAAGATTTAAAGTCTGACTGGTTTGTATTCAAGATGAGACGTCTCTCGAATGACTGGTTTTAATAATAATAATAATAATAATGATTATCATTTTGAAGATATTTGGGTAGTGTCTTTAATTTACAAATAGAAATGTGATTTGTTTGCTTAATTAAGACATTTGGGGATAGAAGTAGAAAAAGTTCAAATAAATACACTTTACAAGAAGCCACACTGAAAGTTAATAGATATAAAGCACTTACCAAAATATACATTTTCAGATTTGAATACAGACAACATTATTTATTAGGCTTTTTTGGCAACTAGTCCTGGCAGTCTGTCAGAGAATGATGGATTATGTAACTTCTGTAGTCTGCTTCAGAGACGGAAAAATACAGCCGCTTTGCTCTATAGATCTTAATCAAACATGTCAACAACACATTCCCTTACTTAGTGGGGTAAGTCACATTACTGTAAACTTTATAATGGTCCTCTCATAACTAAAGTGAGTATCCTTCACCTTTTAGAAAAGACCTGACTGTTTGTGAAAATGGTGCAGTGTGATGATGGACAGTGAGCTTTACTTATGTCTTGTGAAAGAAAATTTGAGATTGGAAACAGAAGGAGGCCAGAAAGTGAAATCTTGAATAAGACCATCATTAAGCCTGTCATTGAAACCTCATAATGGTAAAACCTGGATCTGAACACTTTGGTCCTCCTAGGTATTATTGAAATTAACTACTCAAAATTCAAATCCTATATATATATTTTTTCATCCATATACCTCTTATTTTATTTTTATTTATCTATTCTGTTTTTATTTTTTGTACTACCTGCTTGCTACTTATTGCTGCAACGCCCGGATTTCCCCTCTGGGGATCAATAAATCATTATTTTATCTTATCTTATATCTTATATCTTATATCTTATCTTATATCTTATCTTATCTTGTGCATTTTATATCCATCGAGTTCGACTAACATTTAACAACTCCAAAAGCTATGGGGACAAAACTAGCTGGAATCACAGACGTGTTAATGATACTTGTTTTGAGTGTTTGTCAGTACAGTGTGACACTAAAACAGATGCAGGTGCTTTTATGACATTTATTTTTAGCTTAAAAAAAAGTAAAACAAGTTCTTCATTAACATTTAAGCAAATAATAAGGGTCTGACACATATGGGTTATGAAGTCGCCCTATGCACTCAGGTGAGTTGAGGTTCTGCAGTCATACAAGGTGACCTGACCTGAAACTGTCACTCAAAACTCAGTAGGAGGATGTTGATTTATGTTCGCTTCAGTAGAGTACATTTCAAATGTCTTTACTGCCAGAGTAATAATAATAATAAGCTCAGTCGTGCTCATCTAGCTTAGGGCAGATATTAGTTTATCGTGGCATAGTAGATGACGCCACTGCAGGCAAAACTTATCAAAGTAAATCGCAACCACGCCAGGAACACGTCAACTCTTTAGACTCAATGTTGTATGAGAGGCACTCTCACACAGCTGCATCCACAGCACTGACAGATATGCACATTACTGGGCCAAAGAGTTATTCAGTTTGGCCAATTAAAAAAACAGATTGGAGCATTTCCTGAACTACAAGTCCTACCGCTGTAGGTTAGATGAGGTACACATCATACTATTCATCATTCCTTACTTTGCAAATGTAAACTATGTCCTACATGTTGGAGATTAGATAGAAAGCTGATGTATTTGCATTGGTGAAACGGGTTCAGTTCAATTAAATGTATTAATAAAAGCAATACAGAAATTGGCAGGTAGCTCTTCAACAGTTTAACGTTCACAGACTTTGACTGTTAGGAGGTTGATCCTGCAGTAAAGGTGCAGTCAAGGGGAACCAGATGCATGTACGGAGGCTGCAGTCCTTGTCACAGTGACCGTGGGTTTTGAATCTGACCTTTGCCCTTTGCTGCATGTCATCCCCCTGCTCTCTCCTCCATGCATTTCTTGTCTCTCTTCATCTGTCCTGTCCAATAAAGCCTTCTTTTTGGCAGTTTGTCTGCCTGTTTCTTGATACAAACACACATTTCATGAGCTAAATGAATTCTCTAAATCTGTAAGACGTGTCATTTTGTTTAAAAGCCACATATTGATGCACAAAGGAGGTGATTCATTCAAGTTTGGAAAACTTGTGTTTATACGTTTTTGATGATTGTTTTGCTGACTGTGAGTTGTCACTTTCTGTTAGGATAAGCAAACAGCTGCCCGTTGGTGATGGTAATGAGTCATGCTAAGTCAAGTGAAATTGGATACCACTGTTGGTGATATCTGAGATCTTGTAAATGACTTGGTAATTGATCGGGAGATCACTGCTGAGTACAGTGTAGGAAATCTGAAGCCAAATGGAAAAGCAATTGAAGCCTCTGCCAGATGTTTTCTCAATTCTGAGACATGTTGTGAATGTATAAAATATTGCCTGCTTTACTTCTAACTGCAGAATGTATTTGACCCTTTTGCAGCAAGATGAGCATGCCATTTGCTTCGACAGTTTTTCATGTAAAAAAAATACTCAATATTTATGGTCAAACAGATTTGATTTCCAACCCACAACAAATTACAAAATACTCATCATTAAGAACCTCAAACGTCATTATTGTACAGTATATATTTATGCATCCTGAATTAGGTTCAGTCAGCTGTCATATGACCCTCCCCATGAAGGACTGCAAATTTGCAAACTTTCAAACCTCTGATGGAATGATGCTTTTTGCTCCTGTACTATTCTATAACTTCAGTTAAACTTTTAGGGTGTAAGAATTATATAACTTGACAATTAACTTAAACTTACAAGATTTCAAATGCAACATCTGTGCTTGGCCATAACACATGGAGGTGTGTCTCCTCCCTTGATCATGTCTGATTAAAAGGCTAGGGGCGCAAACGTCACATGTGGTGATCCAATTCATTAAATGTGAATTGGAGCAGCTTCTGTGTGCAGACTTAATCTTCCTTTTGACTTGAATATAGCATGCATTCAGAAATGAACCTTTTCAGCTCTACATGTAATAATTAGAGATAAGAGACCTTATTGGCAAGGAAGCTTCTGACATCACATTTCTTTTTGGAACAACGACTGAGTCCAGATGTGAATTGTCTCATTTAAAGCAACAGTATGGAGGAATTCAGTTTGGTTCAACTTGACGTGCTAACTGGCTTATTTTCCTTATTGAATGCTTGTGTGTGAACTAGTGCTGTAGAGCCATACGCACTTCTCATGAGATGACTCTCAGCCTGCTGCCAGAGATAGGGCCGTACTGTGGACATGGGAGAGACACCATTCTCACCGGAGAAGTTATTGTGCTATTGAATTGACTCTTGAAAATACTGTTTTGTATTTGGGAAAGGTTTGTTACTGTTGCTTTAAGCAATAAGGTTCCTGATTAAAGGTCTATAAACTACCTTCTATATATTGTCAAATAACAGTTTATCTCTTCCTGTGTTTATGATGAAATAGGACTAATTAAAGCAGCATGTAAATGAAAACACAATGACAGTTAATACAGGGAATTAAATACTTGGTGCTGAACTATCTGTCTGGCTCAATAAAGCCCGTCATTGCAAACTGTATATTGTTTTCAAGGTTATATAACGGATGAACAACAACAAAAAAAGAAGGCTAAGTGTGTTGCAAGAGTTGGCTTTTATTTGTTGGCTGTGCCATCCACTTGTCTTTAGCTCATCCAAGAAGCCATAAACTGCGCTGAAGTGTTTTCACATGAGCCAAATAAGAGACACGCTGGACCTGACCCAAATGTCTGTGCACAACAGCTCACACAGGATCCCTGCAACCTCAGGGCAAATATTTCAACTGTCTGCATGATTACAAAACACCAGCTTCAATATGATGTACACAATCACTGCCATTTATTTCATGATGCCATCTGAAAATGAAATCCTAATTACCAATGTTGACAGTAACAAATAATAAAAATGTTCACATGATGTGAGTAGAGTTATTACAAACATCTGTTGTATTTCAGGAAAATATACACTTCCCATCAGAAATGGAACAAGGTAACTCTTTTGAACATTTGACCGTTTTATCTTATTGTCTAAGTCTTTGAGTTTCCAGAAGAGGACTGCCAAGCTTGACCTAGAGCACACAGAACAATGAGTGGGCCATTGAAAAGGATCACTCAGAAACCTTTCTGATTTAAAGACTGGTAGTTCAAAATACAAACTGCTGACAAAATATTGACATAGAATATTAAGTATTTTAGACACTTTTCTGAAAGTAGGACTACATAAGGGCCTCAGAAGGACTTAGAAAAACAACCCAGACAATAATCTCTCAGAGGAGCGTGTCAAACTGGCATTATATCAAAGAATGCACTTTATTGGAAGATGTCTGAAAAGTAGAAAGAAAAAAAAAACACCCCGCAGTTGCATACAATGTTTCAGATGATATGAGCAAGACAAAATTTACATGAAACATTTAAGAAATTACAGCCAGAAAAAAATAAAAAATTTCAACCTAGTATAGTCTAAAAAAATACGATTTTCTTTTTGAATCTTTATCATGCAGAGATTTACAAATCATCAGAACCAGCTTGTCTTAAATCTTACCGCTTCAACTTTCACCTCGAGCACAAAACGTTCAAACACAGTTTCATATGCTAAATTGAAATCCTTTTTAAGAAATTGCAAAATTATAAAACACAAAACTTCAAAGCACCACTAAATCTTTGAAAGAATTATTGTATTTTTGTCAGTTATACCTATTACAGTATATTTGAAGTCACTGACTTTTTAAGTGTTTTTCCTGTATCAAAACATCACTTATAACCCCTGGGTTTGGTGTCTCTCTTCCATTACGTTGATATTTTCCCTTTTCTGTCCTCAGTCTCTTCCTCTCCTCCTGTTGCCAGCTGGTAAAGAAAAGAAAAGCGAATGAACGATAAATACATGTCAATCAGTCAACTGCACTGCATTAAAGTTTGGCATTGGCTCTGCTTTCATTGCTAGCCTTGAGGAAACACCAAGCTCTGCATAGCGGGAAGTGATGATAACATATAGACACAGAGCCCACAGGTGGGTACCTGCAGTGGAGGGAGGGCTCATGAACCCCTAGTCAGTACAAAAAGCAAAGCTTCAGCATAGCTTTTATGTGGGCATTGTGTTGACAAGCACGGTAGCAGAAGACACACCAGTACAATAGCCTTAAAGGAATAGTTCAACATTTTGGGAAATGTTCTTTATTGGTAAGTCTGTATGGTAAAGAAGCTACATTTAGCAGCCAGTTTGCTTAATGTAGCTCAGAGGCAGGAGACAGTGATAAGCAGCTATCTTTGCTCTGACCGAATAAAATCAAACATCTAGCACCTCCAAGGTTTATTAATTAACACATCATATTATCTGTGTTCAACATGATGTTTTATAGGGACTTAGGGGCAGGACTCTTTCTTGGCCTGGTACAGAAACTTCCTTGAGTCTCTGTGAGGATACCATGAGATCAGGTGGAGACTCCAGGAAGTAACCGTACCTTGCCAGAAAATACAATTAGATTAGAAATACAAGCTTAAAAGGTAATTTGTGAGCTTAAGTTGTGTTGGAAGAAAAATATTTTTCTACCTTTAGATGCAGCCAGGCTAGCTGTTTCTCCCTGTTTTCAGTGCTAAGGTAAGCTAACGTGCAACTTGCTGCTGACCGTCACTACATATTTATCATACAGACATAAAAGTGGTTTTGATCTTCTACTGCAAGTCTTAGCAAAAGAAAACAAAAAAAGTCAAATATATGGAATTATTCCTTTAAGTATCTTGCCATGATTGAAGAGGTGCAATGGACATATGCTGCAGGAAGAGGAGTATGCCATGTGGACATGGCAGTGGACATGAGTGGACAGCCAGCTCGCACACTGCGCTGCATTTATTAAAAATGCAGGATTTCTTATCGTCTAGATGTTACCTAAAACTCTTCTGGAAGCGGTTCTTCTTGAACTGCCTTCTATAGAGGCAAACAAACATGTAAGGCACAAACTGTTATTATTGATTCTTTTCTCCCGTCACTGAAACGGATTAAACTCACCTTGGATCATTTTGGTAAGTCTGTCAGTGTCAATATCAGCATTCCCTTCAATGGTGGTAAAACCTGAAAGGTCAGTGCCTGAGGGAAATAAAGATAAAGAATGATTGTTATATTATTACAATGATTACACATTCATAAGAATAACATATACTGTACATTGTTCCGAAACATTTTTGAACATTTACAAACTCAAGTTATTTACATATTATGAAGGAGTTGACATGCAGAGAGCTCATTCATCATGGATAATCAATGTCACAAATCTAAGACAATAATGTTTATGTTTATTACTCAATGCTTAAATAACTATAGTCATCCTGAAACTTGTGTGATCACTTCTGAAAGTAGCTCCACTGACCTTCCAGATCAAAATTGGAGTGCCAGTTCTGACGGAGGACTGAGGACCTGTGGACACAATCCTAGTGACTTTGGTGATGACGGGTTCAGCTTCCATCACCCTAGTGACTTTGGTGATGACGGGTTCCCCTTCCATCACCCTGGTAACCTTGATGGTGGGTTGTTGGATAACCCTGGTCACTTTGGTTACTTTAGGGACTATAAAAGAAGAAGGCTTATTTCACTAAATTGACACAAAGGCATCATACTGTAGCATGGCCCTTCGATACAGAGAATTTTCCATTTGTATGCTGAAATCATAACAAGTGGACCTTTCACTGGATCTGAAAGGTTGCTTTCAGGACAAAATGTGATTCATAATCAAAGACTTTGCACAATGATTTTTGCACTGCTGTCTAAATTATGAAATGTTGTTATTTTATATGTTTGGTAATTTATACTCAAAATATAAAAAAACTGTATTATACTCCTTGTTACTGAGTTGCCAGTAGCAAACGGAAATAACTTTTTCTTTCCATGTAATAAAACTTTGTAAGTTGCTTTTAGATTTGTGGAATGATCTGGATTAAGAGGAAGTGTCTGTGATTTATTAGCTTGTGTGTAAACTTAACAGTCAGTAACCTCCCTATTTCTGTGAAGGGAAACTTTTTCATTAAACAAATGTAACTTCTGAGACTTGTTTACTACTGATTAAGAATCACATGATGATGATAATACTCTGTAATCATCATTACTGTACCTTCCTGGACGACAGTGATGATCCTCTCTAATGACAACAGGAGATATAACGGCATTAATGACAGTGAAGAAGACTTTTGTTTGATCTGAAATATCATCTTTCAAAAAGACAAAATAACATATAAACATGATAATCCGATACTTACTCAAAAATGTGAGGGGGATTTCCTGATATCTGAATCCTGAAATGTACTGTAAAAATAGTAAGCAGATTACTAAGAGTTGTAAAGCATCATCCTAGTCAATAATAAATGTTGCATAAAAGAAGCCTAACATTATTAACTAAGTATTAGTAGAAACAAACCAAATGACAAGATCAATCAGAGCCGTTACATTTGAACACCCTTACTCAAAATCAAAGGCTTAATGCTTTACACTGATTAGGTTTCAAGCAGGTGCATGTCTTGTACTTTATGGTGAGTTATATAAGTTTCCTTTTGGCAGCAAAGGTGGAATAAAATAACCTGCACCCTGCCCTTTAGCCTTGCAGCTTTAATAAAGAAGAAAAACATTTTGAATATGACACCTTGATCTGCATGTAAGAGATGAGCCTCTTCAATAGCATGAGGAAATCCTGGCTTCCAACAGGGATATCTGAAAGAAAGCGGAGGGCGTTAACTGCAGCTGAGCCTTGACAACGGTTATAAAAACAACGCAGAGAGTTCAACTTATGAGATTAATAAAAACAACAGGAATCTAAATAGCACACATTAACGACACGTTAAGAGCTGACACGGTGAATACTGTACCTCCAGGATACAAGACTTGGTGGACAAAGTGAACAACTCCATTTGAGGCCATGATATCAGATTCAGGGACTTGGACAGTATTCACTTGCATTGTGTTGTTAGCCTGAGGGTGACAGTTAAAACTATTAAACTGAAGAAAACCACAAATGAACGGGCTTGAATCAACCTGTACCTTAAATATGAGGATAGAGCGCTTCTACATTAAACTGCTTTCATTATTCTATTGAAGTCACTGAGTTCAAAACTAAGATTTTATCAGACCATAATATATGACACCACCATAAATATGATGAAGGATTTGATTATATTTTCATTCCTTTTAACTTAAAGCTAACAAAAGATATAAAGCTTGAACTGTTCCAGGTAAAGTTTTATTGAATTAGGATAACAGATGTTCAGTCTTACTGCATTATATACTTACAAGCATCACTTTGAGGTTGCTGCCCTGGAGAGACTTAAGAAGGTTTGTAACCCCAGCCTCCAAACCCCCACCAATGAAGACACCATTATTGAAGTGATAAAGGAGGATGGTTCTGAGTGCATTTAAGTCACCTGAAATACAGAGAGGCATAAAGGTAAACTATGAATCTATTTTGTGCCATCTTTCAAACACATGAAACGATAAAGGGAGTCTGGGACACCTACTCTTCAACAAATCCATATCACTTGAGCTCAAACTAGCAAAAGCCCTATCGCTCGGGGCGAACAGAGTGTAGTCTCCCTCCTGTCTCAGCAAGTCGGTCAAGCCAGCTGCTTCCATCAGAGACAAAAAGATCCTGCAGCACAGAGACGAGAACAGTAAGTTGCCTGTTAGAGAAACCACTGAGGACCGACATTGCAACAACTATGATTTTCTCAATCCCATATGTTCCACATTGATTTAATGGAAAGACTCAAAAATATGTGCTTAAGTATTACAATGCATTTTAAAACCACAGTTTCTCTAACATTGCTTTGCACTCACTTGAACCCTCCGTTTCCAGTCAGAATCTCGAACATATTTTTTTCCGCTGGTTTCAACAGAGTCCTCATGACATGGAGGGCCCCATTGCTTCCTTCTTTACTCCCTCTGATCAGACAGGAATTCTCAATGCACACAGCCTGCAAAAAACATCCAAAAGGAAATGGCAAGGGATTAATGTTATGTCTCAAAGACATAAGAATTGATGGTCAAATGATCCAGGGGGAATGCATATAGTGTGTGTTTGATGGCACTCAGCCACCATTTAAGGGGGCGAAACTTCAGAGAAGAGGACGCACTGTGCGATAGATGAAAACCCTCAAGGTTTTTCCTCCAATAGTCTCCAGCCGCTGGCCATTGTACAGCTGTCCCAGGATAAGCTTATTCTTCAAGACGTGGTTCTCAAGGATAATCCTGAGCAACCTCTGATCCATCGACATCACTTCATCTGAAGCAGAAAAAAATGTATCGGCACCATTGCACATTTATATATATTGTATTCTCTTTAGCAATTTTATATATTTTCTTTTTCCTGAGGCCAGCAGCAACAGCTCTAACTGTGAACAAACTCACATGTGCTCTCAGTGACTTGATTTACTGCACAGTTCTGTAGGTCATAAGACATGATTTGTAGGTTGCTGAACATGGAAGAATGTATGCTTTGAATGTAAATTTCCTGTAACATCCAGCTGTTGCTGCTTTTTGCATTCCTTACACCCATTAAAACCATGTGCCAAAAAAGATAAAAGTATTCTCCCTCAATTAATTACACATTCTTGTTACAGAAACAAAACATTCCACTCCCTTCGTGTAAAGTTCGGGAATGTTTTGTGGAGGAGAGGGTATTTGGTGTTGGATGGCATGAAGCTTCTGCAGTGTCCTAATAAATCAGCACTTAATCTCACTTTGGATATTTACATGTATTTTTATTCATGAGTCAGCATGCAAAGGAAAAACATATATTCCCTTAATTCCACACTGTAAGCAAGTGTGGTTCAACCAAGTATCATGTTCAGCCAGCTGCAGAGAGGAAAAGAGAGAACATGTATGATGTTATGATCAGTTTATGACTCACCAGTGAAGGCAGCATTGAGAGGAGCCAGCAAAGTGTACTCAGCCTCTGGTCTCATGGCAGCAGACAGACCCAGCTCGGACACCATGTCACCAAAAGTTGACTGAGAACTTCCAACCAGTTCCATCACCTGCTTGGCTTGAAGGGCACAGGACATCCCAACACTGTAGCATATTGCTATATAAAGGCAGATGTGTACAAACTAGAAGAAAATAGATGTGAGTTGTACCTGAGTCTGGCATGAGTACTTTGTCGATAAGATGGATGACACCGTTAGTGGTGACAATGTCCTTCTTGAGCACCATCTTGATGCCATTGACTGTTATGCTTTCGCCATCACAGCCAATCTCAATGTTGTTGCCCTCCAAGGTCTCATGAGAGGTGCCAGCCATGATGGCCTCAGAGCACTGGACCGACTTCAGGAGGTGGAATTTAAGAAGAGCTGAAAATGCAAGAATGTCTAAAATTACTGTGTTGGCACGCTATAGGTTGACATTTATTTGAATGTAAAGAAGATCAGTTGTTTCCAAGAACTTTATATGTTTTTTTCCCATGTTACACTGCAGCTGTATGAATATGGATTTAACACCCTGGGAACCTGGAGATCCCTTGGATCCCTATGGTCCTTAATAGAGAAGACTCAGGATTTCTTCACAGTTCGTTTTAACTGTCTATGAAATGGTATGATTTCACATTATAGGGCAAGCTGTGGGCTAATAAAAAACTTTGGGTAGTTGCCAATTTGACCAGGTTGCTCAGTGAAGCTGTAAACTAGTACACTGAGATGCTGTTGAAAGTGCTCTTACAGTAACGTCATGAGCCTGTCCAAGTTGTATAAGTGCGCATGTGCAGAAAAAAAAAGTTTAACGTCCACGCTCTGTTCTGGCAACAGTGACGATGAGCATGTGTATTATTCCCTCGTGAATATATATATGATTTACTGGTCCAGTCCTTTAAGATGTTAGCGCCAACAGAAGCAGCTGTTTCCTGCCTCCAACACAAACTAGTGTCAAAAATACCGAGGCTCTGGACATCTGTTTTGTTCTCCATTTTTTCTTTCTGAGTACTCAAAATTACAGAATAATTTTGAGAATATTGAACCAAAGTGTCAAATGATGTGATGCATTGTTTCTCTCCAAACACAATTTCACGTACGACTTCAGAAACTCAAGTCTTATTTTTATTACTCTCTAACACAACGTTGTTACAAACAGCTTGCCAAATGTGTGCACGTTCCAGTTCTGTTGTGGCTTCATCTGTTTTGTATTGGAAGAAGTTGAACACGTAAAAAAAAATCCCTTAAAGGGTGATTACGTCTAGCAGACATCTTTCCAGGGAACCCCTGCATGTCTGTTTCTGATCCTTCATCATTAAAGATAAATACGGTCCTAGCTTTCCATAGTTAATATAAAGCCCCAGTTTCCGCAGCAATGTTTCAAACAGCCTTGAGTGGACAAGAACAGGCTTCTCAGAATAAAAGTCTGGTTTACCTTGAAGGGCCTCCTTGTCGCTCTGAATTCTCTCCAGTACATCGCTGCCCAGACTGTCAAAGGCTTCGTTGGTGGGAGCAAAGAGAGTGTATTGCCCTGCCTCACCAAGCTTGTCCAGCAGTCCAGCAGTTTGAGCTAAGTCCTAGAAGGGAATTTCAAGTAAAAGATGAGCATATTTAAGGTACAATTTACTTACAATACAGAGTCCAATTGAAACAACAGCTGTTGCATTCTTTAGGTCTTCTTCAAGTGATAGATTGCTCTGAATGCTTAAAACCTTTCTTAATAAAATTAACTATTTATCAGATCTGGCAAATTTAAGGGTAACTTATGTGCACTATACCCGGAAAATGAAGAATAGAGGGAATAAAGGATTTGTGTTTTTATGCACATGAAACTAAAAATAATAAACCTCTGCAGCATTATTGTCCTCGGGTCCTTGTGTGTACTCACACTCAAAGTTGTCAGGTCATCGTTAACCTCGATGACATCCTGGATTGTGCTCCCAACAGCGCTGATAACACGGTCAATGACATGCACAACTCCATTGGTTGCAACCTGGTTGCCGTGGATAATCCTGGCGCAGTTTACGGTCACCACCTGCACACAACATGCTTCAGTGTTATACCATTGAAAACTGATTAAGGGAGAACTGCAAGGGGTTTGCTTTTATAATACCGAATGGTTATACTCACCCCATTGGAGTAATGGTTAATATAGAGACCAAGGTCATTGTACATGGAGCTGACGGTCATTCCATTCTTTAAATCTTTGGTCAAGAGGCGTTTGTTGGCCATGTGGTAGTGCAGAGCGTTGTACAGTTCTATGTTCACATTGCTGACCAGTGCAGACCTGACTGTCTGTCGGGTGAAGAAAAAGAGAGATTAAAACCTCATAAAAAGAGAAGTGCAACTGATTATTGTTGTTTCTTTACTCACCTCGTCCAGCTCCTCCCAGGCTTCGTTGCTGGGTGCAAATAAGGTAAAAGATCCAGGTCCCTCAATTTCAGGCCTAAGCTCAGAAATGTCAGAGTATTGTTGGGTTGATGTGGCCTTCACCAGACCCAAGGTGCCATACACATGGTCGATCGGGGCCACTAAGAGAAGTTAAAAATAAGCATGAGCCTGTTTTTTCTGAAGAACGAACACACTAAAGAATGAAAGTCTTGAAAACAAAGACTGAACATGTGTTGATGATGACAAAAGACATCTTCTTGTAGTTTGCTTGGTCTGTTTTCAAAAATAGCTCACAGCTTTTCCACATTTGGCGGAGACATCCTCATTTAACCTTTTGTTAGTTTACTTAATATAACACCTAACATACTGTACCTGCAGGGCAACCTTTGGTCACGCCTTCCATCTTCATGTACCCTGGGCAGCACTCATAAAGCACAGTCCTGCAGATCCAAAATGGGTATGACATAAGTTAAGACACACATATCTGAAGTTCTAATAATATAAAGAATCTTTCTAAATAGCTGTGTACGATGTTCAAATTTCCAGCTGAATCATCATACAGCTTGGCTTTGAGTAAACATAATTTCCATCATTACACTAACAGATGCAACAGATTGTCTTCCTTTTTCACTGTGAAGAATTATTATTTTGACCTCACAAAGCTGCATTATAATTAGAGTTGAATTAGAGTCTGTTTGAGTTGATCTGAAAAACAATACTATTCCCTAGTTTCTGTATTGCTTTTTTTCCATAGAGACTTTGAGAATAAACAGACAGACAATTGTTACTTCTTTTTTAGATCAATTAGATATAAATGTGAAGGGTTAGTTTTGCTCTTGGACAGATATATGAGAAGCAGTGTCTCCTCTCTGCTAACCATAAACCAGCTGAACACCATAGCCTGAGGAGGAAAGTAGAATTCAAGTGCAGCTGCTACATATAAACATGACTATACCCCTTGTGTCAGCACGTCTGAACATGTTGAAACTATAGCATTGTTTCCAGCTCTTGGAAACAAGAGATTAGGATATGTACAGTCACCTCAAATAGCTAGTGGCTATGCAACAATAAAAGACCCACAAGACAAAAAGAAACACTGCAGATGTGGCCATATGGGGGGTAAACCATACCACATGTCCAGAGTTGGCTGAGAAGTAAATTACTGTTTGCTGCCAAGTTTTTACTGTTAGGAAACTCGAACAGGGGAACTGCTTTCTCCCTCATTGTACACTTAAACATTATTAAGATAATCACAACTAATAGCCACTTTTTTTTACCATAACTTTAATATATGCTACAGGTTAAAATGTTACAGGTGAGTGCAAGTGATCACCATGAAACAATTGTGTCACAAAAGAAGAATATGAAGTGGACAACTTTTAATCACTAGCACATAGTGAGCAAACATAGAGTCTTTTTTGTTTTAAAGAAAATATTTAAGTATTTACTTGTTTCTATTACAGTGTTTTTTTTCATGGCTGTGATCCACAGTCAACGCTTCAGACAATGTACAGACAGAGGCTTCAGGGTCATGGCTCACTGCACATCTTAAACAGTTGCATTTGACTCAAAGTTGAATGGAGTTTGAGGGAAGGGGATGAGATCACTCCAGGCCTATTGGGGCACAGTCAGCAAAACCTTCGCTACATTTCTCTCCCACACTGAGGGATTGTGTCTGGCCATGGATTCGGAAACTTTTGACTTGTCAGCATCTCTATAAAAGAACTGTTCCACTGAGATTCATGGTAACTTTGTAAAACGTTACATAAAATGTGTGGTTTTATTTCAATTCAACCCATCACTAATGGGCAGTTTGGTTGTACAACATTTTGTTGGAGACAAAGCTCCTCTGGAAGCAGAAATTATATTATTAGTTGAATCAAAGCCCTGTCGGGGTTAAAACCAAGACAACTTTGGCTGGCTTAATAAAGTGAGATTGAACCTTAGTTGCCAGAAACTACTGTTATAATGGCTTTTACTTCCTGACTGATCTTTTTGTGTGAGCATAGACACTGATGTTAAAGCTAGGTGTACTCATGTACTAGGGGAAATTTACAACTGATTATCCAAATCGTATGTCCTGAAATCAGCTCCAACGAACTGTGTGCAGAATTAAGGAAACAAACATACTGAAGTGAAATATGGAAAATGATCTTGTTATCATGCCATTGAACTGATTCTCATAGTCCCTGGCTGGACCGATTTAATTATTTTCCAGCAGTCAATTCTTTAGACTTTTTTCAATTTGATCAATTTCCAAGTTGAGTGTAGACATCCTGAGGAGCTAAGCCTGGTCAGAGAGTTTAGCTTGACTTTGGCATAGTGAGAGCACAGAGGGCAGGCTGAACATTTATGTGTGAGAGGGAGGGGGGAGAGACTGTAAAATAAGCATGGCGTCTATCCATGTTTAAGCTCAAAAGTGCTGAGAGGGCTGGAACAATAAGAGAAAAAGAGCTTTTCTAAATGATTGAGTGTAACACTTTTCCATTCATGAATACGGTCAACATTTTGCAGCCACATCACATACTGGAATCAGTGGTTCACCACTGCAGCATCAGACGACGACCAGGCTTCCTAAGTTATAAAAAAAAAACTAAATTCCATTTTATAGGATCGAACGGGACATTCTTCATTACAAAGGATTTAGGGCTGCGTCCATAAATGTGTTTTTCATTTTAAGCGGTAGTTTGATTCAAAGTAAGATAACAGATGTCAGTCTCTATGGAAACATTCAAGTTTCCATGAAAACCCTTAAAGAAGAAGCAGAGGAAGAAAATGAAGTATAATGCTCTCCAAAACATAGAGAAATGATACTCAAGTTCAATTTATCAGTCATTGGATTTGCTTGTAATGTTCATATTTGAACTAGAAAAACTACTTCTTTTTGGAAGACAAAACAGCACTCACGCTTTCTTTCCACAGATGGCCCCTTGGTACCAGTTACGACAAGTGCTGAAGTACTTCTTCTTGGTCCCCATGACTTGCTGGAGCGCACAGACATTGGGTCTAGTGAGAATGAAGGGTGAAAAGGGAAGGCGAGGAAGTATTAGTTAACAGGTAAAACACATGAAATTCTTTTAAAACTATAAAATGTTATAACGTTTTTTTGGACAACTTCTGTAAGTGTTTTAGTTTGAATAATTACTTTGCAATGAACCTCCTACTTCTGAATATGAATAATGACTCTGCTGGTTTCCTCCTTTTATATGGGAATTTATTTTAAATCAATAAGATTTGTATGACTTTTGCCAGAACTGAACAATAGATATTTATGAAACAATTGTGAATAAATTAAAATTCAGCAGATTCCAAACAGAATTAAAAATAGAAATGTGAAGAAATTACAAGAAATCATTTTTCTAATGGTCAAGGTTAAAGCTATTTGCATGCAAAATGAAAAAAATAAATAAACTACATCACAAGGGTGTAACAAAAAACAACCTTTAAAATAACTCTAATGCAAAAATGGATAAACTTACCCCTGTGTTCTCGCCCTGATGCGACTGTGGGCAACTATTTTGTCATAAGCTGAAGAGTCAGCTTTGTCAAATGTAGAGAGCACAAAGAGTGCAAAGGCAGCTGCAAAAAGGAGCTTCATCCTCGATTCCTTTGCCTGCTCTTCCAGACCCAGAGTAACGGGAGAAGACTCAGAGCAGGGGTTTATATAGCACAAGGCTTACCCTCCACTCAGGGAGGATGGTAACATTCATGGACCACCCAGTACCTCTCAATAACTTCATTCTATGTGCAAATGTACAGGGCTTTGTGATAGTTTTGTGATCATTTATATTAATTACATATAGTGTCAGATCTAGTAATTTCTAAGATGTTTCAAGGTGCATACATTTCTCATAAAGGAATACAATATTAAATCATTCTTGTTAATTTCACTTGTTTTAAGAATAAATTAAAGAAACAATGACATTACAGTATAAAGTCAGCACTTGAGATTAATAAATGATTATTTAAATTAAAACGCTGACATTGCATTGAGTTAAATAAGCTGGACTCATTATCTTAGTTTAAAACAACATTTGAAACTAAAGGCTTTAGTAAACTCAAACTTCAGCGCACTGCTACAAAGGAAAACTCAGCATATTGTTGAAATCCCTGGAGCTGCCATATTAAGAGACAAATAAAATAAGCAGATGGGATAGAGAATCCAGATTCATCATCCCTGTTAAAGTGTCACTTTTTTGGACCACAAACAAAAAGAAAAAACATTGCATAATCTCTGCTGTGAACAAATGCCAGAGCACTGATAGTACAAATATTTCAAGATGGAGTTGCTCCACCTAGTGGTGGGAGTAAGTGCTGGCAGCGAGTGACTTCTAATTCAGCATCCCCGATTGATGTAGACAACATTTTCCACATAATCAGTTTTAACAGTTGAGAGGATATTGATCTTGAGGTAAAACACTATTTAAATTCTAATCAAGAACCAGGAAAAAAAGGTGATCTTCAGTCTGGATTTGGAGCTTTGCGTTCTGCTCTAATTCTAAATCAGAAACGTGTTACTTGTATCTCTTCTTACTGAATCTGGATAAACTTTTGTCATATTGTAAAATGCACTCATTGCTGCCACATGTCTCTTAAACGGCTTCAGGTCTTTAAAACACAAGGACACAGACATTTGATGTTAAAAACAGAAGTACAAATTGGCTCAAACTACAAATGAAAACACTAAGGAGATAATTGTCTGTGAAAAAGACACGTGATTATACATCTGTTACAGATTATTATTGTAAGATGCTGCAGCAGGACAACAGGTGTCCTGGATTCAGAGAAGCTTTTTTTGTTCTAAATCTTTTCAGTAATGAAGAAAATGAGACTTATTCTTGCTTATAAACTTATGAACCAGAACTTTTTTTTGCCACAATTGAATGACTGTTGAGTGTAGCTGTTAACAGTAGATGTTGTTATTCACAACATACCCACGTGGCATCACTTAAACCATTCGTTCTGCCACATGCTGTTCATCCTCTTGACAAGCCAGATGTTTTGAGTAAGATGAAAATGCCCCTCTGGCCGGTTTAGTCAATGGGCTGTAAAAACAAGGAACTGACACAGTCAGGATTCAATACAGCGAAGATTTGAGACAGAAAACCAGTGAACGTTCTTAGGTGTGTGTTTTATGTGTGAATGTTTAACCAGCAACCAAGGAAGTTTAAAATGTCAGAAAAGAAACCCCTTCAGCAAACCTCAAGTACACTGAAAAAAAAACACTTTTTAAGGCAAGCTGAAACGTCATTGGTCAAAGCTTTCAGAAAAGCTATCACACATAGAAGCCTGACCCAACCTGGGCTTTTCATCTCTTCTCAAATCCCAAAGACTGGAATACATTAACTTTACAGTCTCGACATTCCAATACGGAGCCAATTTTTAAGTACTACACGGACCGTACTTGCTTGCATGGAGAAATATTGGCATCATATGATTATTAAATGCAGCGTGTATTTTTCACACTTTGGATGTGGACGCTGTCTGAATAGATGACTTTCAGAGAAGAATGGATGAAGTTTAGATCCCTCGTTCAGTTTCCTGGGTTTGACTGTTGCTTGTAATATTCTTTTAGTGGGAAAGATTCATCAGCAATCTACATTTCGTGAGCTCTTCAGATATAGTACAAAGACCAAACGGTGTTTAGACTGGTTTTCTTAAGATAGAGTGACTTGATTTCAGCTGCAATAGTAGTGCAAATCTTGCAACTTTTATTGCACTGAAAAGCTCAAGCTGTTTATCTCTGAACTTCAACATCTGTGCAAATAAAGAATGAATAGCTACATTTACATGGCATTACAAAAATTAAAACCTATACATATATTTATTACAATTAAATACTATTATTGCAGGAATATGTACAGCAGTAAGAAGACACCCAGTGCGTTTGTGGTCAAAAAGCACACATCTTTTATCAACATATTTGCACAGGTTTGGAAGTTTTCCTTTTTAATAGTACAAGTTATAGGTCTCTATACATCATAATGAATATAACATTTTTGTAAAGCCCAGAGCAGTGCACTAGTTCTTTATCCATCAATAGATGGCGCTTGTTGCCTTGCAAGTATAAACATCTTCACCAAGAGCTTACTGCACTTCTAATCACAGAATCATTCAATCTCTCAGAGTTGTTTTATTACATCACTGGATCACTGTTAGTGGGGAATAAGCATGTATTCAGCATTTGAATGTTGATTATAATCAAAGTAGAAATATTTTAGATCATCAGGGCAGTGTCAGCCAAAACAATACATTGAGTTTTGTATAATTATTGTACTTTGAATACTTATACTAAAACTTAAGCTGCAATTTAACCAGTGTGGGAAAAGCTATGAAACGTAGCAGAGGTAATACATAAATAAGTTACTTTCATTACACATATACATCTTATACATCATTTGTCACTTCAAATATGGAAAAAGTTTCTTTGGAATATTGTAAGGAAGCCTGCAGTTCATTGTTAGAGCTGCAGATTTAAGAATAATTTAAAGTTTATACCAAAGGCAGAGGCAGTTTACAACTGAGTGGGCAAGCAGCATATGAATAATGCACCACATAACATTTACAGTATTCACTGAATAAGAGAGTGCAGCAGAGCCTTAAGTAATGCTTCTCTCGTATCTGACAAAAATCTCTCAGGAGAATTTCAAAGTAAACTGTGTATGTGAGAGGGACTATTTTGTGTTCAGATCCAGATAGATTCGCTTTTTTGATCAGTACACAAGATGAGAGAGAAGATTTCAGCAGTTTTTATTTTTTCTTTAATTCTGTAAGTAATTTTGTGTGGGCCATTTTTGTCTTTAATGGATAGGACAACTGAAGAGAGAGAGGAGATGTTGGGAGGAGAGAGTGGGGGATGAGGTCATATTTGAATGGCTGTGGTCTATACGATGAGGGCTGTAACCACTGCACTATACTTACGCCCCATGAGGCAAATGTCATGACAAAATGTCAATCAATTAAGACTTTTCACTCATTTGCATCTGCATTCTTGTGCCTTATTCGCTAAATCTTAATGTTAGTTAAGTTAATGTGTATTTGTTGACGTGGGGGGGGAACATGCATCAGGCTGAGAACTGAATCAGTTTGTTTTTTAAAGATTTTAAGTGGGAAGCACTGCCTTTTAAAATTTTAAATTGAAGATAGAAGTCTATGTCATGAAATTGAACACACAGATGACAAGACGGACCTTACACCTGCAATGTATAGTATTTGGTGTACATTTTGGAGGAGTCAATCCTAGTTTGTGTTACAAGAACAGAATTAGAAAAGCTTTCCCTCTCACTAAAACCAAGTTAGAGAAGCAAAGGTGTGAAAAAGAAGCTGACCTAAATTGTATTTCATAGGTGCCACATCGCTCATTAAAGTGGATACAATATTAACGCATTGGATACATATAAACCTGGTTTTTGCCTTATTCCTCCCTCAGTTAATTATTGTTTTGAGGTTTATTTTCGGAGAGGCTAATTATTTTTGCATACAGATCTTTTGAGTTTTACTCCTCACAAGATATTTTTTTTTTACTTGAAGCATGCAAGGAGTATAACGTATTTTCATAAACAGAGATTGAAGACAGTGATACTTGTGCATATCACAGTGAAAGGACAGTTCAAGGTGGAAGACGAGAGGATATATGCGGTAGGGTGTAAGGGAATGTTTGGAATACATGCTCAACTTAATGAATTACTAACTTGCTTTAAAATGTCATGAGCATCAAGTCAGAACTCACGAGTCCTCATTCAGTGTTGTACATCTTCTGTAAGTCACTGACATGGTATGAAATGATTTACTATCAGTTAACCTTTATATTAACCACAGAAAACAAAGGTTAGTTGAACTGATATGACGTATAAAACAAATGTACTAAACGGTTGTTAAAGAGGACTCGGTCTTGTGGTCATGAATGATATTGCTCCTCCTCTTTGACTTTGTTTTATAGTCGGGTAGGTCGTATCCTGTACTGTATTGTGTTTTATTGTTGCGTTTGTTTGGTACTGTTTTTTAAATGCTGTAGTGTGTGGCAATGACTTACTTGCTCCATACTTGTCCCAACATGAAATAAATAAACTATTTATCAGAAGTGAATTCTCCATTGTAGTCTAGTCTACTGTGATTTTAAACAGGTTGATGAATGAATAAAAGTGACATAATTAAAGGCTTAAATATACAACATGGGGTTACATCGCTGACTTGTAGATTCAGATTAATTGTTGTATTTTTTGGGCCCATTTTTTACTTCCTTTGCACGCTCCGGGGGTCCAATCTCATGAATGTCCTGTTTTTCCTCATCCACTTTCTTTATGACTTCAACCATTACTTTCTCAGTCTGAAGTTGTTCTTGGTATTGTCCATCAGATAACAGTGTCTCTTCATCTGGAATCAAATTTAAGTCGTCACATTTCTGAGAGAGGAGTCTGCTCTGCTCGGACGCAGCATCTGAAACATTCTTGGATAGCTCGTTATACGGTTCTCTTTTCCTGGACAGAAAAACTGAACCACTGGCTTGCCCTTTGGAGCCCACTGGGCTGGTGATGTTGGCAGCTCTGTTGTCCTGGACAGTGGTCGTCACATCAAAGAAGCTCAGCTTTATTTGAGGCTCATCAGTAGGGACGTTGGGAGAATATTTAAAGGAGTTTCCAGCATAAGCCAAGGTGGAGCTTGCAACTTGACCTCCAACCCCCCCTTGTGGTTTACCCTTCATCATTCCAAGGACTTCATAGCGGAAGCTGGAGATGTCCTGCTTAAGCTCCTTACAATATATACCAGAGATATAAACAAAATCAATATAAAAACAGGTATTTAAGAGAACTATTATGAGTAACAGCCAAATTACCTTAAAATTCTCTTCTGTCAACCCTTCCTCAGTCTTTGCATCTCTGATCCTTGAAGCAACATAACGCTTTACAAGGTTTCTTAAAACCTCCTGGAAAGACACAAATTTAAGGTAATTTGAATAAAATATCAGATTTCAAATGTAGAAATTCAACATCAACAGATCATAAAATAAAACAAATTACTACCTGATACTCATGGTTTAATCTTACATTTACTGCAGCACGTCTCTGCAATCAAAGAATAAATTGTTATTTTACAAAGCAACACAGTATAGCAGTAAGGGCAGGGCTCTTTCAGTCGAAGGTCTTCTGATATTTAATATCATACTGGAGCACCGAGTTCATTTAGGAAGAAAAACAGGCAATATGATGTAATATTAATTATTTCGGAGTCATCTGTTTGAGGCTATGACACGAGACAGGTATTGAAACTGAATGCAATGCAGTAGAGAGAAATAGGGTCAGAACAAATCTACAGTATGAAAACTGCTTACCCCTAATGTTTCAAAGGTTTCAAGCCGTATTAAATGGGCTCCTCTAAACAAATGAGCCTTTACCCATCCAATTAGATAATACACTGACTTTGGACTGGGTATTATATTAAATGGAGATGGCAAAGTCCCTCCTTCTTCAAAATAGCTCATCCATAATTTTGTTCTTGCAAATTTCCACTCTATATCTGCGTGGTCCTGAAAGAAAAACAAACAGCAATTTATTAAAAACCTTTTGTAAAGAAAAACAAGAAATATTAGAGCAATACAACTCTGAAGTAGGTAGGTCAGCCACATAACTCACAGCAATGTTCTGGTAGGAGTTGTTCATCATTGCAATAAGCATGTTCAGAAGTACTACCAGTGAGATGACATTGTATGTTCCAAACATGGTACTGCCAACAAACTCAGTGAATTGATGGTCTGGCTCCACATTGGTCACATAGAGGGAAATCAGGCCAAATACAGACCAAAATAATGACTGCAGCGTCTCGAACAGCCTGGAACACAAATAACAATACATCACATAATGCACGGCTGAATTGAACATATTAATCATGAACAATGTAGATTTGTCTGGAAAAATATTTAAGCATTTCAACTTGCGTGGAAAAGGCATTGTTCTGTCCACTGCAGCGAATACCCTTGCATTCACCGACCTCATCTGTCTCATAATAAAAGTAGAGCTGGTTGAGGCCATTGGCAAAGGCTAACAACACTAGACAGTAGATGAAGAGGAACTTGAGTATGTCGAGGAGCATGCGGCCCAGTGAGATCTGTAAGGGGCCCAAATGAGAGTTGGCAGTAAAAAGGCAGATGAGGCGAAGTGAGCTGAAGATGTTGGCGATGGCAAACAATGCCTCGGCCACCAAAGTTGGGTGCCACATGTCCCAGCTGTTTCTGTCTTTTGGCCCACTAAACTGTAAAACGATGAAAAAGAGAACAATTAATGCATTGAACCATTAGAAACAGAAGTTGTAAAAGTTGAACTTAAAAGTGATACCATGCATTTGAAATTTCTCCCTAGAAGAAATCTATGATTAAGACTGGGGATAATATATACGTTAGGTATTTAATATCAGGTGCAAATTCTTCAATTGAGAAGACTGTTAAACATAAAGTACCTTTACATAAGCAACAATCTTCAGAGAAATGGTGGCAAGATACAGGGAGTTCATTATGAAATCCATTAAATTCCACCAGTCATCCAGGTAGTCTTCTAAACCACTATCCCACATCTGTTTGATCTCAGTCCATACAAAACCTTGGAGATATTAAAAACAGCACAGGATTGAAATGAAATGTAGCAAACAAGCAGTGTGGTGATCTTACGCATTGGCATGGTCACAGTACACATCTCAGTTTGATATCCTTTATATATGAATAATACCAGTGTGCAGATGTACAATGGGTAAGATAGCATGAACTTAAAAAGCTGTTAATTGGTGTGTGTTACCTAGCACCCAAGGCAGGATCATCCATTCCACTTTAGTGGGTGCTGGGCCCTGAAAGTTGGAGTCAGCATAGGTTATATGCTGAGAGGCCAGGAGGAGCAGGAAGAGGAAGGTCAGGTAGGAGGCAGTGTGACAGATGAACTTGATGAAGGGCTTGCGAATGAATAAACCATAGCGGCTTGTTGGAATGATCAGATAAACCATGGATAATAATGGGAAGAGGAGGCCTATGAAGATACATGTGATGAGCTTTGCTGCCCAGTGTCGTCTCCTCCAACCCGGGAATTCATCATACCACCGGGATGCCAAGAGCTGCTGACAGTTTGGCTGAGCAACAAACTAAAAAAAACAAGCGAGAGACAAAAAATAGGCATGTTGACAATTTCAACTCTCATTTCTTCATCATGCTGTTCAACTATTAACAAAAATCCAAAGCTGTAAAAGCTGTATTCCAAATGTACCGTTCCTCACAATTTCCAACCAACAATTTTTAAATGTATGGCTATCTTGGCTTGAATAGTTTACGTGTGCACAGTTTCTCTTTTGAACTTGAAATAAATGATATAAATAATATGCTGGAGAATAAGCATGTCTCTTAAAATTTTTAGAACAGTTCCTCGCCACTTCAACTTCTCCTGTTTATTAACAAAACTGCTTACTCCAGCACCACAAGGATAAGTGTCTACAAATAACAGGAAGGATGATCCAAGATTGAGTAATGTTGATCATGGTAACCTTATTTTATTTTGACTATTTCTAAACTGCTGCTAAACTGCTGGTTTATATCATCTCAGATCTGATTCTTTGAGGTCCTTATCTGACCCTTACAGGACGATTAAAGGGCCTGAATCTCAGCTTTATGGAGAACTAGAGAGCTAAAACAATAAACACTCTGTCCCTACGAGTATAAAAACCACACACAAAAGATTTCCAATCATAAGCAGATTGTAAATTACCAGCAAACAGAGTACTATCTGGACCATTATGCTTTCTTATACACTAATGTAACTTGAATAGTTTACCAACAGTTTCAAACTCTACCTGGTACAATCATAAAAGTAACAGCAGATGTAACGGCAAATGTTAATAGCATAGATGTGTCTTGTAAGCATGCAAAAGTTTCAAGAGGGCTAACATTTCTTAAATGTTCTCATATCCTTTGTTAAGAGATTATTGTCAAATCTGTTTTCCATCCACATTACCCTGCCCTCTGAGATTTGATATACGTATCCTGTGGACATCTGCAGATGGTGATGGAACTTAATTTCAATTTAACCAAGTTACAGCCAAATGGATCCCAATTATGGTAGTGTGATGAGCTCATCTATCAATGCAGTGTCTGACATCTCTAATGTTTTCTTGTGTCTGTGGTGAGATGTTAACTTGCCTTAACATGACTGGAGGCAAAAGGTGGCATCTGGTGGGACCAGGATTTGTCAGAGGACAATTTTAGAAGGTGAAAATTGCCCCATTCACATGTCACAACAATCACCCCTTCAAAACAAGGAGAATTCTATCCTAAGGCATATTCTTAATTTTTTTTACGAACTAAAATACTTCCTCTGTTTCACACTGCAAATTTTGAATGGATATCATACGCATTTACAAACCAATGATACGGTCTGCTCACCAAATAAAAGCACGCATCTTTAGGACCCTTTATGTTCACAGAAATGTACAGAAATCTATGAGCGGCATCTCAAAAACGCATTCAGAGAATGTGTAATAACTGACGATATGATTACTCTGGTCAGAGCATATCGACTGCAGAGTATCAGGAGAAGAGATAGAAGCATCTTTCTTGAACAGATTAAGGGATCATTTTGACACTAATAATTTGCACATCCAGTAAGTGCTGTTGGTCTTTGTTCATTTAAACTCTGTAACCACTTTGGTGCCTTTTCATAAGTGAAGTTCTTAATAGCAAAAAACCTCAGAAAAGCCAAGCTAAAAGAAAGAGTGTTTGTTGTTTGTCTGGTTGTTAGCATAAATTGACCTGAACATTCAATGTAACGTGCCTAAACACATGGCACTGGCTGTACACAACATCTTAACAATGGCCACCTCTGAGAAGTTAGGAAATGGCATGAAAACAATAAAAACTTTTGTATTTAACTTGTTGTACGAGTTAAATAATAACCTTGTTTTAAAGGTTCTCCATTAAAAAACTTTCTGACTGTTCGTTCAGTTTGGGGCATCTGATGCATAAATGGCTAAAAATAAAGACAATTATTTTCTTTCTCGAAATGTCACCTACTTGAAAATATGATCTTATGTGCAATGATATCCTCATAAGGTGCAATAACATCTAAAGTAGAGTAGGTTTGTTTTCCTAATACTTTCTTCTTTCAATTACAGTATGGATGTGTATGAATGCATGGCCGAACACATTTGTGTATGTGGTGACTGATGTTATAATCATTATCAAAGTTAATTAGCGATATACAGCAATTAATATTGTACACTGTACAATGGCACAAAGGCATTCTATTCCACATTATTTCATGTTGAAATCAGAACAGTGTTAACTCTCACACACTTTTGTTTGTTGATAATAATAATAAAGAAGACTTCTGTGTAAGCCTGGGTCATAAACCACCCTCTTTTAGGGCAAGTCCAAACCTTAAGACTGCAAAAAGAAGCCACATTAATTTATGCTTAATAAACTATTTTGTAGAATCTGGTCTTCCAACTGGGTCACAATCAAACGTTTTTGAAGTGGTCCAGCTTATGCAAGAATTAGTCATTTGCGTTAATATATAGTGTGTTCTTTGTGCTGCAGCTTTTCAGGTGAATGCCATCTTTTTTTAAGTATTCTCAACATAGAATGTGCAGCACAGTATGAGACACTGTGCTGTTGATGTTTTTAGTATTATAAGTTGATGTGGTAGTTAACACTCTAGATTGTGATGTTCAATGTAAAATGTGGTCTGAAATGATCAAATCTAGTTCAAAACATCCATCTGTGGTCACACCAATAGCCACTGAGCCCTTGAAGTTCATCTTTGAAACCTTTTGCCATGGAGACCAACTGTGTCACATAGAGCTTCTGACTGTCACACTGATCTTCGCTTCACACATTTCCAACTGTCTCGTTAAAAATATTACAGATATGCCATCAAGCATACAACATCTCTTGAAATGCTGAGAAAAGTTCTAATCATACAATCAGGAGGTCTCAACCTTTAACTGTTCAAATGCTTAACAACTGCTGTGTACAAAGAAGAGCCAAAAGCTCCAAACAGGCTATTGGACAAGTGGAACAAAAAATAAAACCACTGAGACCTAGTCTGTATTAAGAGTTAGGGTCTGTTACCAGGAAATCAATAATTATCCATCTTACAATGGATGTGTCATTTTTTAGTAGCTCTACTTTCCATCGAATGACAGAAGGTTGTCAGTGCATCCAGGGGATGAATACAAGATGTAAAATGACAGTAAAAGGTTCTCTCCCTATTAAAATATTGACTTTGTTTTTCAGGGAAGTGGCCATCACTTATTCCATCATAATCCCCAATTATGCAATTGTCATGGGACTGTCTTGAGAGGGCTACAGTAATGCACTGCTAAAAGACAGCTGGGCAATTACATGTTGTTCTCCAAATGGACATCTCCACCCTTCAAATGCCATTTACAGCTCATCTTGGTTTGTAATTGTTATCGAATCAATGTTGTGCTATCTGTAAATGCGATATTTCTTGTTGTAAAACTACATCAAGTAAACCTACAAACCCTCAGTTCTCAGTTGTTCGTGTGTGTGCGTATCTTGCCTGTGGCATCTTCTCCATCTTGAAGATAATAAACTGACTGTAGGTGATCACAGCCAGGTGACATCATCATCATCATCAACAAAGAGCTTACCTCTTTCTGACAATATTTGATAGCCAGCTTCAGTCGAGCTAGATCGTTATTGCTGTCATCCGACAGAGGGTTGATGTCGTCTCGGTAGTTGAGGACTATTTCCAACTCTTTGGAGCTTCGGGTCTGGTCTAAGAGGTCCTTAGCAAATTGTTTACAAATACGGGACAGCTCCTCGTACTCTGCCTTGAACTCATTTTCCACTGTGCTGAGCTCTATCAGCTCCCAGCTGAGTTGAAAAGCCGTGAGGAAAGGATCCTCACTGGAGACAGCTATGAGCGATGGGCTGGCAAGGGCCTTGTAGATGTTAAGTCGAGAGCGTGAGTGACGCAGGCCGTCCACATCTGAACTGGACCGGCACTCTACACAGTTACAGCGCACAGCATGTGGCTGAGGTATGGAAACCCCTCGCTGCACCAGCAGTTTGATAATTTCATAGTTGTTGGTGTGGGCTGCAAGGATGATGGGTGTGATGTCTGGAGTGAAGTCTGAAAACTGTTTGTCCAGTAGCATGGGGGGGACCTTTTCAATGAGCAAAAAAGAGGAAGAGACAAATAAACTGACATGAAGTTACAGTACATTTTAAATTACAACTTTAACCTACTATTTCAACCACCAACAGAAACAAATAGTTGATTGGGTTTATCTGTGTCTGCTCTTTGACCATAGAATCTAACAGCAAGCATGCAGGTAATGACTTGTGTTTCAAAGGGTGTCAAAATATCACTGGGACTGAAAACTAAATCCTGTTTTTTACAGATTTCAGATCAGCACCTCAAAAGGAATCAGTTCTTTTCAGCAGAAAACAGAATACTAAAACAACTATATAAACATAGACGTCTGATCGAGTGGAGATCATGTAATTATTTCTCCACTTTATCTCTTTCACATCTACACTAAAGAATGAAATGACTGAAAAACTCTCACTTTAATTCACTCTGACTTCACATTGACCTGTATGGATATTGAGTGCCATCCTAGTAGTTTATAAGTCTGGTAAGGGCTCTTTGTATTTGAAGGATGGCAAATTCTGTTACCAGAATCTTTAACTTAAATCACATTACTTCTTATATTGTTGAGTTTGTAGAGTGCTCAGGTGTGAATAAATAGGACCAGCTGGTATTATGTTATCACAGATCTACATTACCTGTTTTTCCCCTCGTGGTTTCTTGTGGTTCAGCAGCAGCTCCACAGCCCCCACCACTTCTTTGCGGATGGCATGTAGCAGGGCATCACCCACATACACATTAAAGCTGAGCAGCAGGTCAATGATCTCCAGGTTCTCGTTATCAATTGAGATGAGCAGCGCTGTCCGTCCCAGAGAGTCAATGCAGTTGATGTTGATCCTGAAGTAGATCTCAGCCTCCTCCAGAGCCTGTTTCACACTGGCATAGTCCCCTTTTTGAACAGCACCCAGGTAGGCCTTCTCCAGAGCGGAGAGCTCGGACTCTGCCCGCACAATCCGCAGCGGGATGCAGTCCCTGTATGAGGAGTTGTCAGCTTTCCTGTAATAAAGCTGTGACATTGCTGCTACAGCATCACAGTCTCAACTGAGAATGGATGAGAAATAAAAGGAGAGGGCGAAAACATGAGATCAAGTTTCAGTTCAAGCTTTGATTATTCAGACACAGCAGGACATATTCAACTTTGATCAATATACGAGCTAGTTAAAAAACAAGGATCATAAAAGAAGGGAGCCTAAGCTTTAGGGGCCAAGACAAGATGCAGATAGTATTTATTAGAGATGATTACTGGATGATCACTGCTAAATTGTCTGTCCAAAACCAAGGAGAGAATTTTAAAATGCCATAACATTTTTTCTAACTAACACATGCATTTCAGTTGTGAATTAGCTCATAATGATCTTCAAGGCATTTTGGCCAGAAACATTAATTTATAGTAATCATTCAAATATTATTAACGTACACTGTTTAAGTGGAAAAACGCAAAACTTCCTGTTGAAATCTTCAAGAGTAAACGCTAACAGGAACACAATATTAAACATGTTAAGCTGCTTTTTAGAAGAAAGAAAATCTTAAACAAAGTTACTTGTTGACTTCCGCGAGGTAAAGATAAGCGCCAAATAAACACAAACACTTTACCTTTGCCCTGCTGCTCTGTAGTTGTGATTTCGTCCAAAAACAAGCAGAAATTTTCGACTGTCAGACAGGAAACTTGAATGATCGGATCCTCATCTATGACTGAAGTCTCCACTGGAGACGCAATGTAATTTAAGGGCATGTCATGTAATCCCCTGCCCACCCCCTTTCGCTCTCATGTGTTCGGCAAGGATATTCAGGATTATATTGCAGATTACTAACCTACTGTACACATTTCTTTACAGAATACACGCCACACATCTGTTGGGACAAGAAGTGACTTGCGGGAAATGTACTCGTGAATGAGCCGGGCGAGTCAAGGACCGATTTAGCCTTTTAATGTTTGTTTTTTTACAGCACACCAGGAAACTGTGATTGGTGGAGCCAAGAGTTGGTGAGTTGATTATCAAAGGTGCTCAGGAAAATCGACAAATAAAAAAACCAAAACGGGATTCAATTATCAATTAAAGCAAATTTTAGGCATAATAAATTCATGGACGTTTAGATGCACACAAAAAGTCCCAACAACAACAACAACAACAACAACAAACATCAAACCACAGTCACCTTTAAAAGTTACTATGGATTTAGAAAATACCTGAGCAGCAAGAAACGAGAGAATATTTCTACTGGCATTCTCCCCCCTTCTTTGAATTGTCAATACGGAAATTATTCACTCAACTTCATATTTTTTTTGAATATAAAAAGAAAGGGGCGTGTCCAGACTTTTTGACCAGGGTGGCCAAACTAGGCCACAGTCTGATGCAGGGCATTAAGCATGTCTGCTACGCATTAAATAAATGTGTTTATTTACCCATTCTCTCTCCAATGGACATACAGTAGGCTTAGCTATTTAAACTGCTCGTATTAAAGAATGATAGCCTACAGATGCGTTTACTTTTAACTTTAGAAAGTGTCACAGCATAGTGGCAAACACAGCCTATACAGCTTAGATTAATTCCTCAGGACTCAAAATCAAGATATTTGTCTTAAGTAACAACTTAAAGTATTAGCAGATGGAAATGCAAAGAAAGCCACACACAGGCTGTCAGGTCACAACCCAAATAGATTATTTTAACATGTCCCACATGACCAGGCAAATAGCCAAAGGGGGGGGAAATCTGATTTTGGTGGGGGCCAATGCCACACTTCTGGACTGATGACTAAACATAATCAGCTCTACCACAGTACAGTAGTGGTCGACCAAATAGTTAAATAATGTACTTACTGCTACACTAGACACTGTTACACTACCTCTAAACTCCATTCACAGACTTTGTATAGATATAGGAACAATTTATTTAATTTTGGGTGTTGAAATTGTTCTTTAAGTTAGTATTCAGGGTAGTATTGTCGCTTTTTTCAGCAGGTTTAGCTGTATACAGGAAAACCGTCCATGTGTAGATCATAAAGGGGCAGAACAGGAACTCCGAAGCAATGCCTAGAGGCTAATATTGTCAGACGATAGCCAACTGGTTCTCCAATAATCTTCAATCTTCCATAAATATTAATCAATTAATCAAATATCATATTTAGCTGAAAAGGTCAGCGGCCATCAGTCACTGAAACATCATTATATGAATGAAAATTATGATTATCAAGCAGTTTGATGTATCTGATCTTAAAGGGAGAATTACTTACACATAATGATAAACAGTGTGTTTATTTGACTGGAAACGACAGCAAACCCAACACCTGTTATTACAATAGTAGTGGAAGGGGGGTCTTGAGCACTCCATTTAAAACACTAAGCCCATCATATGTCCCCCTCCAAACACAAAAAAGTTTATTTATTTATTTATTTATTTATTTTTTGTGGAATTTTGTTTTTAAGGCTTGAGGGGGGGGGAAACTGACAATGTCATTGTTTACTAGTATCTTTCAAGCTGATTGAGTTTATCTAAAGTGAAAAGTATGATTCTGGACCTTCATGACATTTAAATGGTAAATGTTATTTTTTTTACAATAGTTTCACCAGTTTAAATCCTGTTTAGGTAAGTTTACTCCCCAGTACTGCAGGCTGGTATTACTGCCTTAGTAGGATTCAGTTATCCAGACCTGCACACACACACACACACACACACACACACACACACACACACACACACACAAATACACAGAGATGCAAGATGATGTTTAATGTCAGTCTTTCGCTGGCTAGTCTAAGCCTGCACAGTTGCTAAGAAACCTCTTGCGAAACCCTTTCTTGCACGTCCAAAGGCGAGAAGAACAAAAACCCCTCTGTGTGTTAGCGTTCTTTCCCCGCCTTGAGATATAACTAATGTCAAGTCTGCGTAGAAAAACGTTCATCAATGACTCTTTGAAAAAAAAGTGCTTTCATGTTCGCTGTTTATTCTCAAAAAAAATAGTTTTTACAAGATGTGAAGAAGCCTATCTGAATGCAATCTTCTCCTTTGGGTGCAGCCATGCAGTTTCCCACAAATAAAACTAATTTGATCAATTTCAAGTGACCAATTACAATAATGCCTTACACGTCAACAAAACACAAAGTCAAGTCAATGTCAAAGTGATGATTTTACATTCTACATTTGCTTTGAATCCTCTTGAGACATTAGATAATTGTTGTCCATTTTCTTACCCTGTATTTGCAGATTTTAACAATGACGACTAATGAGCTTCACCAAGTGTGTCAGTTAGTATGAATCACAAGTTTTGCTTTCAGAATTTCTCCCTTTCTAATTAGCATGTTTCAGGCTCTGGAGAAATCAGTGTGCCTTTGTGTGACTTTCCATGCAAGAGGACAAAGTGTGTGTGTAAGATCAACGTCCCGTCCTCTGAATCAACAGATTGTCTCACTTACAGGAATTGTACCCATTATAATCGTCACTTCAGTTATTATCTAATCAAACTCATCGCCAATCATCTGAAGACAATCTGGTTAGTGCGTCATACCAGCTACGATTTATCCAGCCAGCACGATGGGTTTATGAACAGACACACTTTTCAGTGTAACATTTCTCTTTATGAATGTGTTGTGTGAACTCTTTGCTATTAAAACTAGGCTATTTGTTATCATGTTTTAATGCAACAAGTTGAAATGGATCAAATAATATCACCATGCTTGTGCCATTCCTATTTTAAACACAAAATATACATTGTTGAAACCACATTCTTGACGTCGACATTTTCTTTAAGGATGGAAAACAAATCAAATCAAATCAAGTTTATTTGTGTAGCACATTTAAAAACAGCGTCATCTCACCAAAGTGCTTTACAGGAAATGCGTAAAAGCAAGAAATAAAAAAAATAATCTATACATATGCACACATACATATATACACATATACATGTACATACACATAATACACACACACAAACATATATACATGCAGCATACATACATATCACAAACACTACATATACCTGGGAAAACAAGGACACAAGATGTCAGTATTAACCAAATTAAAGCCTAAACCAAACTGAAACATAAAGGGTGTTGTATGCACATCAGTTTAATAAATGTCTACCCCTATATACATCCCTCTAAATCAGTGAATCCTTCTTTTTTCCACTTTAAAACATGGAGTTTTATCTTCATAAACTCTGCCTCATGGCTTGTTTTTATGTTATTGTTAGGAAATGTTATTTCGACTCGTACTTTCGGACCATTGTTTTCATAATCGTAGGCAACATGACATAAACCAGTACAAATTAAAAAACACTGTAAAGCATTTTATGGTCTGGGAGAATATGGGCGGTGGGAAATGTTGTAATTCTCAGGAAAGGCCTTGTGATGGGAAGAAGATCACATTGCAGCCCAACCACAAATGAAAATGTGTAAACATCTTGACATCAATAATACATAAAAGCTTCCTGTTTCTCTGCTCTTTCATCTGTGAGTTAGATTCACATTCGTCTGCTTAGAGTCAACATTTATTTTCATGCCAATTGAAGCCAGGTTTAGATTGATATTTAGTCTGATCAGGGCATCCTTTTTTGTCCGTCTGAAGTATCTTTTCCTTCCTTTATTTATTAAACTTGTTTTTTTTAATACAGAATATTTTTTTGTTAAACCAAGAAAGCCTCAAAGTATGACCAGCTACTGTATATTGTCCCTGTGCTTTAGATATGCAACCGTAAAGTTAACTTAAATATCCTATGTAGCCCTCACATTCTTTAAGAGTAATATAAAGTAAAAAGCAATGTTTAAAACTTCATATTATCCATAAAAATCATTCAAAAGTAGATATGTAATTACATTAAAAAGTTTCAAATGTTGGGACCAAGTGTGCTCATGAGTTACAGTGAAAGAGATGTGTTGCACAATGAGCAGATGCTCCGTCCTCCATTTATGTCCTCTTGTTGCTTTCAGTGTTACAGATTTGAGGCAGCTGCAGTTCAGATACTTGCCCCGAGGAGCCTTCAGCAGAGCATCTTTTATATCTCCTCCTCCTTACAAATACATTTATTTTTAGACATTTGACATTTGAGTGCTGAAAGTTAAGGTCAGATTATATAATCATCTCATGTACTGTGTTTTTGATGCCCTTCTATAGAGATTTTAATGGACAGAGCTGACATCAGACTGCAGAGTCTGTGACCTGTACTGATTCATATTTCCTGCTCCTAGTCTAGACAACATATCAGGCAACAAACGAAGGTAAATCTTCTTTACTTCATCTTCAATCTTTTTTCTTTCAGGTAAAGGGACTCCTCCTCCTACCTGTATATTAGCCTTTCCAAATGTCATGGACCAAGAGAGCTGGCTCTAATGGTACTTCTTCAATCAAAACATGTATGAAGCAAACTTTAGACTTAATATCACTCATTTTTAAACCACTAATATTGTCACCCACACTCGTTCTCTATTTGTAAATGTTTTCGATTAATAACACAATTTATGATTACGTTCATATGCCACTAGGGGGCATAATGAGACTTTCTTCTCTGCTAAATCCTAATGAGTCTCATTTGGTGCCCAGAACTCCTAATGAGATTTATTTTTTTTTGTTACCGATTTATCTGCGTTTTGGTGAAAGCTTCCTGCTTCAGACGGGGGAAAAAAATGGCTGTCTCCCCATGTGAGTGAAAAACCTTCCCCGAGAAGGCTCCCCGCTGAGTGAATAAACTTCCTACATAGGTCTATGTTCTGTGAGGTTTAGCATATCTGGGCCAAATGTTTGTTAATGATGTTTGCTATTGCCAGAGAGTCTTCTGACCCAGTTCCAGACATGTTTATTACTGCTTTAACTTTTCTTAAGTTTGTAATGACTCTCACTTTCTCTTGCCAGTGCTTGGGGTTTATGTCTTTAATCT